TTTTAACCCAACGTGGGTTTAAATTCCAGGAACAACACGTATTTGACTCAGCGCACAAGTGCCACTGTTATCAGACCAAGAAACACGTCTGTTACCAAACGTGAATGTCCTGTTATAATACTGCTGAACACCTCTGTAAAGTGTATAGGAAAGTGTGGCACAGAGGCAGAGCAGGTCATCCACTAATTGAAAGATCAGTGGTACGATTGTTGGCTCCTCCAGTCTGCGTGTGGAAGCATCCTTGAGCGAGATACTGAACCTCAAATTGCTCCCGATGATGCTTCCATCAGTGTGTGAGTGTGTTAAAAACTGAGTAGCAGGTGGCACCTTGTATGGTAGCATCGGCCAGCAGCGTACCATGATAAGGAATCAATACCGAATTAGACCTATACAGCGTTACGTACTTCCTACCTTTTTAAATACTTTCCTATTTCTGCTGTCGTAACAAAACAAACATAATCTGATTTTTGGTTTATAAATACCATGTTACTGAGCTTCACATAAAAACTATTCTATGATCATGACAGTGTCAGGCAAAATGTTGGTGTCAGGAAAGTGAGTCCTCCGAGCAAAAAAATCATATTGCTATTCATATTATTAGCATATTACAGCCGGAGAGCATCTAAACAAGCTAACTGTAAGACAAAGGATGAAATAAGAAGGATTTTTGTGTGTGTTTTGTAACGCTGCTCATTACTGATTTACTGTGAGTACTATAAGTGTAGATGCTTTGTGTGGAGTTTCTCACGTTTCTGTTTTGTGCACTGCTGTCACTGAGCTATAATAAGCTTTAGCTTGACTAGACTGGGTTATACATATATTTTTTCTGACAATGATATCAGTATAAGTGGCAGTGACAGGCTCAACATGAATGACGCCTCTCCTGCAGCTGCCTGGGCTGAACCCTGGGCTGCACAAGAGCAGTGTCACCCACATAGATGGTGTCACCTTTATAACCGAGTCATGTGACCAGTCAACTTTCACCCACTTCCAGCGGGAGGGGATGCCAGCGTTATGTCAGCCAGCCCCGGAGTCAGGCAAAACAAGGACAATAAACAGACTGCGAGATACCGTCACATCACAACATGCACTAAACAACACTGGCAAAGTGACAGTAATATCATATATATATATATATATATATTATAATGTAGGCTAGCGTTACCTCTGCAGCTTGGCTTGCGTAGAGACGAGCGTTTTGCACAGCAATCACAGCCCCGGCATGTCGCTGACCTCTGTCGTCCACACAAGAAACAGAAGACGATTTTACCTTTACATCCAAATATGTTTTGTCATCTTCACCAGGCTCAATAACAGCTTTAATACCTACCCTGACAGCACCGGAGGAATCCTGAGAATAGAGCCGCACAGAGCGGACTGACCCACTTTACGAAGCAGCATTCTTCTTCTTTTGTTCTTAAAGAAAAAAAAGCCGTAATTAGATAAATGACACACAAATAAATCACCAAACACAGACAGAAACATCGGAGGTTAGCTAACAGCTACATGACGTTAGCTGCGGCGCGTAGCTAGCTAGCAGCTACGTAACGACGTCGGTGTGTTTTGTAACTTATTTTTGACTGAAAACAGCTAAAAGCGGTTAAAATACTTACATTCCTTCAGATAAAAATCAAAAATATCGATTATATTACACACCGATACAAGTTAAGCCAAGACACGTCCCCTGCGTCCGCCCAGTGGCCGTCTATTCCTCTAAATGACCCGTTGGTGTTTAGCCTGAATTCTCCTCTTCGAGACAGGCACACCGGAAGTTGTCTATTCGCGGTGCGTCATGGGATATGTAGTTCTTTGTAGAAGGTATATGAATGAAGACAATAGTAGGAAATTATTGAATAAATGTTAAAAATATGAACAATAAAATAAAACAAAATCAAAATACATGATTATAATTAGTATATTACACTAGTAGTTCGTATTAAATAGGGTTGGGAATCACCAGAAGCCCCATGATACAATATTATATTGAATGTTTTGCGATATACTGAGTATTTTGATAATATATACTGCAATATATTGTGATTAATTACCTTTTTTCAACTGTAAATGATGTCAAACTTTGTCAACATCTGTTTTTATTTAATGAGGTGCAGTTTTCAGTCAGTTAATCTCACTTTAGTCATTTTTATTGCAGGAAAATGTCTCTAATGAGCAGAATAATCAATTTATTTTACTTCTAAACTTCTTCTAAAAGTCTAATTTGTAGTTTCTATATTACTAACTAATATTTATAAAGATTTTATATTTATAACAAAGAAATAAATGATTGCCGTCAGTGTATTGATACAATACTGGCATGCAAAATATCACAACATTATACAATATCAATTTTCACCCAAACCCTGGCATCAAAGGGGAACTACACCTATTTTTACAATTCATACGTTAGGGACTGTTTGTTATTTATGGAGGGGGGGTTAGGGGAGGGGTGTACAAATTTAAATGATTGTAGTTTGTATTTATTTTACCACCAGAAACTGTAAAAAAAATAAATTATTGTTGGATTATCAATGCTTCTGTCAGGAAAACATAACCATACTGGAGCTTAAAAGAGTGATGATTAATCAAAGTCACTTTATTCTACGTGTCATTTAATTAAAATTTGGCCAAAATAAACTGTTCCCACGAACTAACCAGCGTGCACCACAAGACTGAAACACAGAGTGATAATGAATTGATCAACTTTAAGCTCCGTCACGATGTTATGCTGACCAGAGTCCAGCTACAGCACATTAAGAACACATACTTTATGTATGTGCACCACGTCAGCTAACACCAGTTGATTCAGTTGGTTTGTGAAGGACTGTTCGTTACTTTTAGTGACTACACTGAGTCAATAATATCAGTGTTTGTGAAACGGGTGTAATTCAGAGAAAACCAAACACTGAGTAAGACAAACAAACAGTGAACACAAACCAAAAGCCGTTACTTAAGTCTACATATTATGTAGGCTAAGTAAATTTCCCCACTGTGATGTAAAGAAAAATGTCTTATGTCATCTTCTTATGTCATTATCATGAGAGTCTTTCTTGATATGACTCAGTATCTCTAAATAATGGCTTATAATATCAGAATAATGAGAATCTTTTTCAAAATAATGACTTGGTATCACAAAATGAGTTAATCTCAAAATGAATGACTTTGTATCTAAAACTAATGACTTAATATTTCACAATAATGATTTGAAATCTCCAAATAACGATTAAATACCTCAAAATGACTGAATACTACAAAATAATAAATAGAAATCTCCAAATAATGATAAAATACCTTAAAATGACTGAATACTACAAAACAATGAACAGAAATCTCAAAATAATGAATTAATATCTTAAATTGACTGAATATTAAAAAAATGACAACTCAATATCTCAAAAATATAACTATCTCAAAATGACTTTGTATTTCAAAAATAAATGTAAATCTGAAAATAATGACATAATATTTCAACATGACTAGAAATCTGAAAATAATGACCTAATATTTCAAAATAATGTTAAAATTTCAGTTATGACTTAGTATCGCAAAAATAATGACGTAATACCCCCAAATAATGACTTGAAATCTCAAAATGACTTAGTATCTTAAATTATGACTTAATATTTAAAAAATAATGGCTTGAAATACCAAAATGACTTGAAATATCAAAATAACTTAATGCCTCAAAATAGACTTAATATTTCAAAATGACTTAATATTTCAAAAATAATGACTTAATATTTCAAAATGATGACTTGAAATCTCAAAATAATTACTAGTTTTTCAAAAATCACAACTAGAAATCTGAAAATAATGACTAGAAATCTCAAAATCATGACTAGACATCTGAAAATTATGACTAGGGATCTCAAAACAATGTCTTAGTATCTCAGAATAATGACTCAAAATTTCAAAATAATGAATAAAATCTCAAAATAATGATTTTTTTTAAATAATTACTTAATATCTCAAACTACTGATTTGAAATCTGAAAATGACTTAGTATCTCAAAATAATGACTTGAAACCTCAATGTAATGACTTAGTATCTCAAAATGACTTAATATTTCAAAAATAATGACTTGAAATATCAAAATAACTTAATGCCTCAAAATAGACTTAATATTTCAAAATGACTACATGAAATCTCAAAATAATGACTTAATATTTCAAATTAATGACTTGAAATCTGAAAATAATGACTTATTTCAAAAATAATGACTTAATATTTCAAAAATAATAATGACATGAAATCTGAAAATAATGACTAGGGATCTCAAAATAATGACTTAGTATCTCAAAGTAATGACTTAATATTTCAAAATAATGACTTGAAACCTCAAAGTAATCACTTAGTATCTCAAAATGACTATATATTTGAAAATGACTTGAAATCTCAAAATAAGTAAATACCTCAAAATAATGACTTAATATTTCAAAGATAATGACCTAAAATCTGAAAATAATGACTAGAGATCTCAAAATGTCTTAATATTTCAAAAATGACTAGAAATCTCAAAATGACTTGAAATCACAAAATGCCTAAAAATCTCAAAATGACTAGAAATCTCAAAATAATGACTTTAAATCACAAAATGACTTAATATTTCAAAAATAACAATCTAAAAAATAATCTAATATTTTAAAAAAATAATTACTACAAATCCTAATATCTCAAAATGACTTGAAATCTCAAATAATACCTCAAAAATGTTAATGTCAAAATGAGAAACGACACTGATTATTTTCATTTAAAGTTTGTCATTTTTTTTAGATATTAAGTCATTATTCTGAGACAAGTCATTACATTGGAGAAAGCTTCTCATTATTTTGAGTTACTAAGTCATTATTGTGACGTTTCTCATTTTAACTCAACAGGATCTTTTGTTTTTTATCACACTCGTGAAAATGGGTTTCCATAAACTCCTTGAAACACCTTGCATGAGAAGGTTTATGTTTTTAACATACTGTTGAATCCCCTCTTAAAATAACGACGTCTGAACAGAAAGTAAGTATCAAATTTATTCTCAAGTACACAAACAAAGGTGGTGATATGAAATCAAACAACGTGACACAGTCAATGTCATTCTTTTTTTTCTTTTTTTGAAATGTTGAATCTTCATTTAGCACCTTAATAGTTCGGTTATACATGATTTTATATAGTCACTCATACAAAAATGAAATGGGTGTATAATGCGAGTCAGTAACATAAAAAATAAGCATGGGGTGTTTGGATCACAGTAACTTAATGTAATCAGAAAGTACCGCTTTCAGCATCTCGTCTTCTCACCTATTAGTACCGTTAAGCCTCTACAGTCCCATCCCGAGTTACTGAAGACTAGGCCTACACAGTGATGACTAAACACACACTCACCTGACATTTTTGGACCTATTTTCTTTTCACATTAGAGCTTGTCGTTCTGTGTGGTTGCATTTACATAGGAGTAGTAGATATATACAGAGGAGTTCATTGTCAAACAATGCTGGAACATGATGTACCCGGAGTGTTTAAATGTCTCTATAAATGTTAAGGCACTCGATATACTCCTGCGCCGCCGACGGATCTGGCTTGATGATCCAGATATGTCATCAGGATTGTATCCTTTTCAAGTACACAGTGTACCTGGCGCCCTCTAGTGTTAAACTGTGGTCTGTGCGCTTCCTGGATGGACAGCTCTGACATTCATAGCTGGTTTCTGGAAGGTGATTCCCCTCCTAAAATATATTTCAGAGTGCTGAGCAGCTCTGAGAGGCGATAAAATCCTGTAGGGAGTTTGCTTTCTGAGGAAAAACAAGCTCACTACTGAGATAAGAAAGAAGAACTGGTCTTTCTGGAGTTAGGATTTTGAAAAATATGTTATGTAGTGGATTTTAAAAAGAGAAATTTGACGTTGCGGACATGATTAAGTTTTTTCTTTGTCAACCCTGTTCTCACCAAATTTGTACCAAGTGCCCTCGCTCCAATGGGCCCTTGTGAGCTCGAAAAGCTTTCACCAGATCCTCGCCAAGACAAGTGGGAACCGTACACTAACTTCACATGAATGGTCACTCAACATCAAGACAGGAAGAATAAAAACTACATGACATCCACGAAGAACTCGCTGGGGTTCCCCATGGCCAGGTGGAACGACTGGCGCGACGCAGTCAGCTCTGGGGGAACAGCGCCCAGGTCACGGGTGGGCGGGGCGCCGGGAGGCCCTCCTGGAGTGGAGGACGGGGGCGGGGGTAGAGCTGGGTGCATGGGCGCTGTGGCCAGCTGCTGCGCGTGAGGAAGAGCGTGAGCGGTCGCCATGGCCGGGTGTGCGTGCTGGGGTACCATCATCACCATCATGGGGTTGTACGGCAGGATACCTGGCGGGTAGGGCGACATGTGGGGCGGCTGGGGCATGCGGTGGTGATGTGAGCGCTGGGAGGAGGCGTGGCTGTGCTCGCTGGGGGCGGCCGAGCCGTGGCCGCGCCTCAGGCTGCTGCGGGTGGAGTATTCTGATTCGCTGCCGCTACCGGAGCGTGAGTCGGCCCCGCCGCCTTCTCCGCCACCGCCGGAGGGGGATTTCTCCCCTCCGCCCACGGTGCTGCCTGGACCTTTGGTGCTGCGACGTCGCTCACCCTCGCTCCTCGTCGACCCGCTGCTTCGGCTCCCTGAGGGCGCAGAGAGAAGGCTGTTAGGTAACATGTACACAGGTGGGACCAGTTAAACCAGTTTCTGTCCACAGCCTGTATCCTGGGAAGTCAAACATCAAGCAGACCTGAAGGAGACTGTACGCTACGTTAGTGCCACTCACCTACTGTACAGCACGTTTATTAGACTGTTTCTTTAATGACTTTAATGAACACATTTTTCTGAGGATGAAGAGACAGTTATATTTCCGATCTCCTCCTGCACTCCTCGTACGCTCTGATCCTCAAGTGTCAGCCTTTCATCCATCTCCTGCTCCAACAAAACTCAGGAGCTTTCTGTCTGTACTGTCTGTCGTCCATATTTGTTTTCTGAAAGCTTCCTGACACGGATGAAACAGAGCTGTACCACCAGAGATTGTGGACGAAGTGTAGCATAGTTAAAGCAAGACAAGACTGTAGGAGATAACGAATAAATTTAAATAACGGTTAAACAGAACAAATCGGTAAAATGAATTCTCCATGTCAGGATGTATACAATGGCCGCACAGACCACCACCTTCCACAACGCTGCCTCTGTTTACAAGTGCAATATTACGACCTCCTCCACTGTCACTTTGTTTGTCGTTGTATTAAACTCTTGACTCCGCCCTCTAGTGCCATCTGCAGGCTGTATCTGTGACATCATAACAGACGCATGGAAGTATGAAGGCAGTGACGTTTGACATGGACGTATCCATTTTCGTACGTAAAGGGAGAGTAAATGAGCCTTTAATGTGCCAGTTCAAATTCAACAAAGTCCCCAAGTCGTTCAGCTTAGAGTTCAATCATTTTGACAGCACTGGTAGACACATTTTATAACAGAGTGCTTCACTTTAAAGACAGATGCTAAACAGCATTCTTTTTAAAAGGCAAGAAACCAAATACTGAACATAATCCTTTCCACAAACTCACAGCTTTTGGCAGTTGACTCTCAAATCTCAGACGTTGGAGTTTCCCTAAAGGGTTATTCCACTGACATTTTTAACAATGCCAAGAACTAAAAATACAGCCTGGAGCAGAGACGTACACAACAGTGTGTCAAGTGGCTCTCACCTCATATATCTGGGTAAGATTATTTGTAAAGTGATCCAAACTACTGAGTTACAGAAGGTTGAGGAGCAGAGGCTGGCCAGGACACGACGTCACGACTTCAGCTCTCTGCTGTACTTCTATAAAGCTTGAGGACTGAGGAGATTTTATTTTTTTTACCGTCAAATCTAAAGCAACAGAAGCCAAGATGTCAGTATTTCTTTTTGGAAAATGTGTTTAGTATAAGACAGTTGTTTTGTCAGTGAACCTTGTGAGTTGTAATAGAGCCAAATTTTGTGATGTTGCCTTTGTTAAATGTTGCTGTGGTCCCTGGCTTCATATGAGTAGAGGAAAAGACCGCTAGCCACTAGGCTAATTTATACAATGTAAAATGCCATAGGCTTGTGCTAGTAACGTTAGCATGTTCTATCTGTGGGGAAAACGTGTTTAGTATAAGACAGTTGTTTTGTCAGTGAACCTTGTGAGCTGTAATGGAGCTGAATTTTATAACGTTACCTTTGTTAAATGTTGCTGTTGTCCCTGGTTTCATATGAGTAGAAGAAAAGTCTGCTAGCTGCTAGGCTAATTTATACAATGTAAAATGCCATAAGCTTGTGCTAAAAACATTAGCATGTTGTATTTGTGGGGAAAATGTGTCCAGATAAAGACAAGTGTTTGTCTGTGAATGCTGCGAGTTATAGTGAAGCTGATTTGTGTACTTGTGTTTGAAACTGTCTCTATTAAGCCATGTTTAATGTGTGTTTAATGTGTGTTTTGAGTGTAAATCCCCCTTTAATCAGAGAAACTGGTGGGTGACACATGACTGCTGTGTGTGCTCACCTTCGCTGTGCTGGCTGCCGGTGCTGCCGGGGCCATAGCTGTAGCTGGTGAGCTCGTGGTACGGAGGTGGCTGGCTGGAGAAGGCATGTGTAGGGTAGGGCTGATAGGGGAAGGTGTGCATCATGGGCCACGGGGAGGCACCAGGGAGGGGCAGTGGGGCCAAGGTGTCCTGGTCGGAGGCCCCACTGGAGCCATCATTGTCGTTCAGGGACAGGTTGGCCATGTCTGGGTAGAAGATGGGAGGGAAGGAGATGAACAACACCACAGAAAAATAAAAAAAAAACTTTCATTTTTTTTCGATATTCAAAGATTTCTGTAAGAACTGCTGGATGGTGAGTACTTCTGTTCTGGAAATTGCTCAGAAACCCCTCTTTTTGTGAATATACCCATGAAAGCCATACATCCTCTGAATGATCACAGTCTGTAGTTTGTGGCTGTAAAGTTTCACGAGGCTGTGATCATCCTAGAGGTCACAATAGGTCATTTTATACAGTGATGTCCGATTCAAAAAATGGTCTCACTACTATGAAATGGCTGCTATGGGGACTGACATCATCACACATGAATAAAACTGGGCTGACTGAATCCACAAGAGTCTCAGCTTTCCAGTCAGACCCAGTTTATGCAATCCCAATACTGTCCAAGGACCCCAGTATGCAGAAATATTCAAATACAACAGGCGGAAATAACACATTTATATTGATATACACACAAAGAAATGCAAAGCTTGTGGACAGTTTGTTTCTTTTCTGCTTGTTGTCGAGTGTTTTCTGGAGACTCTAATTTTAGCGATTGCATGACATTAAAGAAATGCTTCCATAACTGAAATGTCACATGTTTGTAACCACCACTGTCCCTGCAGAAGGCATGTGTGCAAATGTGATTAAGCGTAACATTCACACACACTGAGCCCATGTTCTCGAGTCACTCACAGTTCTCACAGTCGCTTAAATCTCCGAAGACGTAGTAACACTGTTCGGAGAAGGTGATCTTGTTGACGGTGTGTCGGATGAAGCCGGCCTTCAGCAGGTTGCTGGCGTACTTCCTGGCCTCGCGGCGGTCCTGGAATCCCTCGATGTGGTGGAAGAGCCACTCCACGACGTCGGAGCCTGGAGGCAGAGGAGCGATTTAAGAAGAGATGAAGCAGAGGAACAAAACTTCCCAATATACTTAGTTAATTCAAGTGAAATAAATGTAATTTGTACATACAGTATAATAAAATACAAATGGAAACAATACATAAACACATTTAAAACAAAGGGAAGAGGATGAAAAGCATGAGCAGAAGTGAGAAGTATTCGGGTGTCAAACTCATTTTAGTTCATGGGCCACATACAACCCAATTTGATCTCAGATGGGTTGTACCAATTTTTGCGTGTAAAGAGTTACAAGTACATTCTGCAGCTTTCATCCTTTACAAAACAGATGAGCAGCATGAGATGTCTTCAGAAAAATAATCTCCACATTCAGTCAGTCTACTTCTCACTGTCATTACATGAGCATTTATCCACACGTTTCCTGACACAGATTCTTTTGATCTGAAGCTGCTGTTGACAATATTTTGCACCATGTTCAATATAAACGTGGTCACAGCAAGTGTTCATTATAACATCAAGAACTGTATTCTGGTCAGAGTGGAAAAGCCTCTGAAGCAGAATTTTAAATGAATTAGGTAACACATTGTTTAACGTGCAGCCTGAAACCTGGCATCTCTTAGTTTAGACATCTAGTGGGCCGGATCGGACCATTTGGCGGGACAATTCTGGCCCACGGGCTGCATGTTTGACACCCCTGGCCTAGCTCTTGGTTTACTTCCCGTTACCCCGTCAACCTCTGGTATGTTATCTTACTATATAATGTTCCACGTTTTTCTCCTCACTGACTTGGTCAATCCATGTGAAATTTGGCACAGTGGTAGAGGGTCATGGGAGGATGTGAATGAAGCAATATTACATCAATTGGCCAAAGGGGGGCGCTATAGCAACTGATTGAAATTGCAAACTTTGAATGGGCATATCTCATGCCCTGTATGTCATAGAGACATGAAACTTTGCACAGAGATGCCTCTCCTCATGAGGAACAAATCTGCCTCAAGAACCCATAACTTCCGGTTATATAGATTTTCCGCCATTTTGAATTTTTTGAAAAACACTTCAAATGGATCTCTTCCTAGGAAGTTTGAGCGATCTGCATGAAACTGGGTGAACATAATCTAGGGACCAATATCTAAAGTTCCCTCTTGGCAAAAGTTGGAAAACTTACTAAAACTGAGCTTCTATAAGGCAATGAATATTGCGGAGGGCATGGCTCATCACATAAAGGTGTATAACATCTCAAGGGTTTCACCCATCACCAATTTTGTAGGCATATGACCACACATTATCTGAGGGGACCCCTCCATTATTGACCCCATCAAACAAAATGGGGGCGCTAGAGAGCTAATTTCTTATCTAGGCCTAACCGCCATATGGATTTTTACTAAACTTGGTAGATATGTAGAACAGGACGCCTCAAGGTGACTGGAGAAATTTAACTCTAATTGGCAACTGGGTGGCGCTATAACAACAGAAAAATGCTTAAACATGGCTAAAATGCGACCGATCGCTGTGGCTCCCCCTGTGGACCAATGTTGTTGTTTTTTTTATTAATTTTTGGTGTGACTAAGTCATGGTATGGTATGCTGTACATAATCACAGAAACTGTCAGTCAGTCATTCTGTCTGTCCCACGTTTTTCTACTCACTGACGTGGTCAATCTATGTGAAACTGCACATAGGCATTGAGGACTGGCATAGGTAGAAGGTGACAAAGCTACCAATGGGTATGGACTAGTAGTCCCTTATAGTAATTCATTCAGGTTGCTTATCTGCTGTGAGGGTCCAAGGACAGAGGGATGTTGTATGCTGTGATTTGTGATGCTGGGCTTTATAAATAAAATTGAAAATTGAAACTAAATCTCTAAACAATGCTGTACGACTGGATAAATGAGACTTTAATTATACAGCGCGAGTTGTGTGAGAGTTTGTAAACAGGTGTTTTGACATAGTTTTGCTGTTGTTCAACGTGGACAACCATGACTTCAATTCATTAATAATTTTCTCCAGCTTTGAATTCTCCGTTCACTGTGAAGGCATGTGAGGAAAACAACGTTTTTTTTGGTAAGTTTTAACTCTGAATATTTAGATCAAGACGTTTCAGTTCAAATCAGTATTACGTGTAAAACTGTGGGATCACACAAGACAAATTTAAAACACGGCTTGATCATGGAAGCTGTGTTTTAAGTACCTAAACCAGCTTTTCCTTTGCAGTGAGTGACAGTTAGGACGACTGTTCCCAGAACAGGATTTCAACTAAATACTTTAATTATGTTGCACCAACAGAGAGTGAGTGAAGTCTGTGCAGACCATATACTGAGGGAGTTTAGCAGCATTTACATTTAAAGACAGTTAAAATGCATCAAATGCCGTTAAACACCTCTGACATGCTCAAAAAAATAAGCACAGGGGAATATTGGCAGCTTGTGATTTGAAGTATGTGTGAACGCCTGATGAACTGTAACCTGCTGGATCGTGACTGTGTTATGATGAAATCACTGAAATCAGAAAGTGAGCTTTCCATTCCAGTCAGCACCAACTGGACAAACGTGTAGTTTATGTAATTGCTCCTTGTGATTCAGTTGCAGGTGATTCCAATTTAACAGATGTTTCCAGTCAAAACAGGCACTTCAGTTTTTTCTTTTCCTCCCACAAGTCACACGGTTTTAATTCTGAGAACATAATGCCTGCCCTGTAAAGTCCTGCGAGGCACACACAGTTCATGTAACTGATGTACTCTTGGTTTTTCCACTGTTCGGTCTTACCCAGGAAAGCGTTGGGGATGGTGATTTTCAGCCACATGCGGTCCCTGACCTCCAGACCCGACTCTGGTGAGGCCATGGCCTTTGCGACCGACGCCATGTCAGAGTGCAGTGATAAGTTGAAGTCATCGAAACCTGCAGAGAGACAGAGGAGCACTTTAGCAAAGTGTAGACATGAGAGGACAAATGAAAGACGACAGAGAGGTGAAATCTGAACTGGGTCAACATGAGAAGGCCAGGAGTGTAACTTTGAGCAGGAGATTAAAGGCAGGAAAGCAGCAGACGTCATTTATCACATCATATAACAACAGAGACAAAAGCAGAAAGACAGATGTGAAAGATGAATCCTGCGCCAGTGTCCTTCATAGAGACAAACGGACGGAGACAGCAACAGGAAAAAGATATTTTAACATCACTCGGGCCTTAAATATCGACAGAGGTTTAAAAGGGGAAGTTTAATGAGAGGATTGTGTGGATATGAAACAGAATAGAGAGGAGAGGTGACTTACAGCTCACAGTAGGGCTGCACAGTATGAGGAAAATATGCAATGTCATTGAATATCTCAATATTACTGGAGATAAATAAACAGATATTAAAGTGTACTCAGTTCTGCTGCTAAAATACACTTGTTCAATAAAAAAAGTTACTTTCCTACATTCTTTTACTGAACAAACTAAATGAAAGCTACTTTTTAGAGTGTGGTTTTCCCTCTGAGGTTGAAAAATGAAGCCGATGCATATTTATACTTCTGTGTTGAATCGATGTCGTAGCTACGGCATAGGCTCTGTGTTGACATGCACCTCCCTAGAAATGTAAATGGACGTCACAGCGATGCAGACCTCCTGTCTACTTTTGTAAGCTGAAACCATTTCCCTCAGTGGAAACAAAGCTTTTATTTACTTTAATTTCACAGATAAGAAACAATAAATTGTGAAGACAATAAAGCCTCCACAAAAATAGCATTTTAAGTCTTGTGTGTGATTTATCCTGGCTTCATATGAGCAGAGGAAATCTGTGCCAGTTGCTAGGCTAATTTATACAATGTAAAATGCCATAGGCTTGTGCTAATAACGTTAGCATTTTGTATTTGCTTGGAAAACGTGTTTAGTATAAGACAGTTGTTTTGTCAGTGAACCTTGTGAGCTGTAATGGAGCTGAATTTTGTACCATTCCTCTGTTAAATATTGCTGTTGTCCCTGGTTTCATATGAGTAGAGGAAAAGTCCGCTAGCTGCTAGGCTAACTTATACAATGTAAAATGCCATAGACTTCTGCTAATAACGTTAGCATGTTATATATGTGGGGCAAGTGTGTCCAGATAAAGACAAGTGTTTGTCTGTGAATGCTGCGAGTTATAGTGAAGCTGATTTGTGTACTTGACAGAGAGTATATGTGTACTTCACAGAGTATAGGTATAGTCGTAGTTGTCGCTATTTCAGAGTGTTCCAGTTGCCAAAAAACATCTTTAAGGAGTCGGATATTTAGGTTCTCTGTTCATTTGCATTTTGTTTCCTCCATTTTTTTATACAGTCTTTACAATAACAGACAATAAAAAACAGATACTGTGCAGCCCCAGCACACAGACAAGAAAGAATGATTATGAAGACACTGGAAGAGGCTCTCACGTTCAGTCTCAGTGACGGAGGAGGAAGAGGTGATGGTGCTGAGGGAGGAGCTGCCTGGGAAGGCGGGGTAGGCCCCGGTCATCGCCACAGAGTGGCTCACCCACGCTGCCGGGTCAATGGGTCGGATTGGTTCATCTGCACAGAGATAAGTGTTACTCAGCCTGACATTAGTGAGCTATCAAACACAACAAGGAACAGAGAAGGAAGTCCTGTACGTACTGCGAGGCAGAGTGAAGTAGCCCTGAGGAGAGGGGTCCCAGCACTTAGCCACTGTGAGGATGATGGGCCTGGCAGACACCAGCAGAATAAGGAGTCGTTATAATCACTGCTCATCACTTGTAAACAGACATAACTTGGTATCTGAAATGAGAAAAGCAGCGACTCACCCTGGCTTGTGTACAATCTCCCTCAGCACTCGCACTGCATCGTCGTTACTCATGTTCTCAAAGTTGATGTCGTTCACCTGAGACGGTTTAGAAGAGGAAGAAAAACATCTTAGTTAGACTGGCACGTGAGTACAGCTGAAACAATCAGCTGATCAATTTCATACACTTTCAGACACACCAGTTTTCAGTCAAATATTTATATAGACAGTCATTTAAAGGAAAAACAGTTTGATTTAATGATTAGGTCTTTTTTCTTCCTCACCTGCAGCAGCATGTCACCAGGTTCGATGCGTCCGTCTGCAGCCACAGCTCCTCCCTTCATGATGGAGCCGATGTAGATGCCTCCGTCCCCTCTTTCGTTGCTCTGGCCCACAATGCTGATGCCCAGGAAATTATACTTCTCTGTATTGTGGAGAAATCAGAGCAGTGTTAACACCACACATGCAATTGTTCAGACAAAAAGTTAAGTCGGTGTTTGTATTCTAAGTCTTGGCTGCAGCACTGATTTATACGTTTGGCTCTGAGGATCAAAGACATCAGTTTACAGACCCATGTTGAGAGTGACGGTGATGATGTTCAGAGACATGGTGGAGTCTGTCACACTGCTGAAGGATGAGGCCTGGAGTCGGAAACCACAAGATTACCATGAGATTTGCTGACACTGCAAACGCTGACAAAAATGCTTTCTCTGAGTAAACCATCTCAGAGGCTCTCGAGATTCTTGATTCAGCGAGCATGAGCAGTTAGGAATAAAAACAGCATGAGAAAACAGGGCTTAAGTAGTACATACCCTCTCCAAACGTGGGGGGCGTTGTTTCCTGCGTCTGCGGTGCCGTTTAAGAAGCCTGGAGGCCGTGCTCTGCTCTGTCGCGCTGCTGAACCTACAAGTTCAAGAGTCAACAAGAGGTGAGAGGTCACGGGAGGAACAAAACTTTACTAGACAAAAAAGACACCCAAACCTTCCTCTGTTAACACCCACCTGCTCATGGTGTCGTCGTCCTCGGAGTCGCAGAAGCTGGTGGTTTCCAGCTCACTGCTCATCACTGTGCTGGAGCTCTCATACCCTGCCAGGTGGCGCTCCAGTCGACTCTGACCGTTCATTCGAGGCCCTGGGACACCACAGAAGAAGAGGGAAGATATTCACCTTGAATTTTCATGTTCACTCAAGTCAGTGTTTGCCTGTTTTCCCTATAGACTACAAACATTCCTCACTTCTCCACATTCCTTGATTATATCACGTATCGTATATTCATTGTTTGGATGTTGGGGGCGCGCCAAATCTTGATGGCATCACAAAAGAGAATTTCTCATCGGCAGAGTGATCTGCAGTTTCTCACCGTGCGGCTCCATGCTCTCTCTGTGCCGAGGCCTCTCCCTCCTGAAGGAAACTACAGACTCTGTCTCAGTCTGGTCGTCCAGCGTCTCCACGCTGCCTGTTGCATTGGGGCTGTAAAAGAGGAAGAAGAAGCAGGAGCAGAGTCAGAAATAGAGCATAACTGTTTTAATGTAATAACTTTACCAGAGTGACATCTGGTTTTCCAGACGTGGTGCTCGCAATAATAACCAATAAACATGTTTTATAACTTTTAAAAACAGAGAGTGCTGCACAGATTTATCATCGTAGTGCAGTAACAGTGTCCGACTCAGGATGGACAGAAAAATCGATGCAGCAGATCCACATTAAGCTTTTACTGGACTTTTACAGCCTTCAAATTATTCGGTGATGCCAGAATTTGACAATGTGAGTCGTAAAACTCTGTCCTGAGGTAGTCATGATTATTTGGCAGCTCCACAGTTTTGGAATAGGTTGTAAGAAGTGTTTTAACCTTAACAAACTGTGAACTCTAATGAACACAGTTCCACAGAGCGTCAATTAAAAAGTATGTGCAGCAGAGCTTTAAGGAAAACTGGTAAACTGTAGTGTAGTGTAGTCGTCACTGCGGTAACAACTAATGAGGATCCTGAATAAAGAATAAAAAATAAAGAGCACAAATGTAGATATCAAAATAAAAACAGGATAAAGTACACAATAAAAAGTTAGAATGCCAAAAAGTATAACGTACACTTAATGACAATCTGATGTGAGATTACGATCTGATGTCATGAGATTTCACTGCATCAAGAAACTGTCTGAAACTGAAACTTTACACTGAAAACACATTGTTTGATACTGCGGCAAAGTGTGGCCAAAGAAAAGCTGGGGATAGTTTTAACTTTTGGCGTCAAATTGCCATCAGAGAATACTTGCAGCCGATCAGTTAAGAGCCTCCTGTGACACTTCTGATATGCTGACCTATGTTAGAGACAACTTCTTCCCACCTGGAACACAAGAACACGCTGGAAATTATGATTATTGCAACGCTGCTGTCATTAATGTCCCATTTGCTGTACTATCACCACTAATGTCACCACCACAACGAGGTTGTAAAGCCGTGTTCGGCATAATGACACTCTCATTAAGCCGCCTTTTTAAAGACACATAAAAGCTTCAAAATTCACATTGTCATCGAACAAAACATGAAAGTCTCTTCAGCTACTACAAACCTTATTTCAGGCATCTAATCATAAACCCATTCAACAAACCCATTGACTTCAAGACGAGTGAACCGGAGGTGCTAAAATGCTAACTTATTTCCAGGCTTTAGGACTCATTCCTGCACAACTCTACTTGTTTGGTACTTACACAACCCCCGATGGTTTATTGTTTCTTCTTGCTTCTTTCGCTTTTTGATTTTCGTGACACTTGATAGTGACAAAAGTGGCTTTGCAGTTAATTAGAGCTAAACCAACATATCTACTGAAACTAGATTACTACAACCCAGCTTCCATAAAAGTTGTGATGCTGTGTAAAAAGGTACATATACAGAATGCAATGATTTACAAATAGTTTTTGACATACAGTCGGGAAAAAACGTTTTTAACACTAGGGCCCGACCAATATGGATTTTTTGGGGCCGATGCCGATTCCAATATTATGGAATAAAAAAATCCGATAACTGATACATTGGCCGATTAAATTTTTACGTTTTTCAATTTAAAAAATCCCGAAATACCTGCTTTTGATGGCTTAAATATAGTTCAAACACTCGTTACAAAGATATAAATTGAAGGAAGAACATTTTACTATTTTCAAATAATTTTATTATCAGAAAATGTGCGGAACAAGCAGCATATGAACAATTTGAACACAAAATAAATCAAAAATATGACGTGCAAAAAGGCAGTAAACCTCTGGGAAATAAAATAATCATGCAAAGTCTATATGAATTAATTAAAAGTAACACAAGGACATCATTTCTAAGTAAAACACCATATTCCCTGCATTTTATTAGTGATGAAAATGTAAGTGTTAACATCGGCGTCAATCGGCAAATTGGCTGATTGCCGATTATTCTCTTTTTTTTTTTAAAGATTATTTTTGTGGGCTTTTGCCTTTAATGGATAGGACAGTGTGTGTAATGGGAGACAGAGAGAGGGAGAGAGAGAGAGAGAGAGAGAGAGAGAGAGCAGGGACTGACGTGCAGCAAAGGGGCGCAGGCCGGACTCGAACCCGCAACTGTCCACTACGCCACCGACGCCCCCCGATTATTCTCTAATGGCTATAATCGGCCGATAAATCGGTCGGTTCCTATTAAACACATCATTATATGTCATCACACATGAAGAATCTAAATTACTTCAAACGGCCCGGTGTCGGTTTTATTTATACGTGTGGCTGCGACAGAGACAGTAATTTGTCGTCTTATTTTAGTGGTGACATTTTTATTTCCTGTAGTGTTTAACAGCCAATCAAAGCGCTCGATGCAAAGTGCTGCACAAAGGAGACAAAGAATGATTGATTTTATAGTTGTTTTTTTTTTAAAGAAAATATGGTAAAAAAAAAAAAAAGCATATTTCACATGAAATTTAGACCAGATGTTGGTGTTAGCTCAATGAGACTACCCTGATAAAGAAATCATAATATTTCACTCCATAAAATTACATGCAATACAGTGGAATGACAAGAAAAAATTAATTTAAGAGTAAATACTATGGAGGAGCCTTTGTTTGCAATGCCAGCGTCAAGACGCTTCCTGTATGAAGAAACTAATATCTCACAGTGTTCAGATGGTATTGGGGCCCCGTCTTTCATAGACAGTCTTTATCAGTCCCTCCTTTTCCGGCCGACCGGAAGTCATCACGCATGTGACATCATTTGAAACGTCATCAGACGTGTCATCAAATGCACTAATGGCATTGCAGTATGGAGAAATGCTCTGTATTGACATAAGAATTTGCACTGTTTAAATGCAGACAATATGTGTTGAATGTATTAAAATGTTATGTTTACAGGAGATGTAGCTGACATGTTGTTTTACAGTCACACTGTCTGGTTTGAGAGCTACAATATTCACTCAGGATTTTTTGCAACATTACTGGAGTCCATGTTTTGAAACTAATTAAGTAAAACTAAAGAAAAGAACGATAAAAAACATTTGCAGCTATTTTTGTAATATTCAGTATGATTATTATAGCAAGTGATTACATGAATTATTTTTTTGGAGATAGTAGAAAATCACATTTTTTCTCCTTTTGTCATTAGCCGCAATTTCCTGCAGAAAATCATGTAAAAATGCTGCAATTCATATCACAATTTTTGTTAAATAGGCCGCAAATTCAAATTTATTTATCTTTGCCGCAAGCTCATGGAGTGACTTAATATCTTGAAAGTTTTTGGGGCTCGCTTGTGAATCTTGAAAAGGGAATTTCACTTAGAAAACTTCAACAATTAGTGTCCTCAGTTCCCAAATGTTTACTGACTGTTGTTAAGAGAAACGGTGATGTAACACAGTGGTAAACAAGCTTTTGTACCAGCTTTATTGGGAAGTGTTGCAGACATCGAATTCAGAATGAGTGTATATTTACAAAAAACAAAGTTTATTAGTTTGAACATTAAATATCTTTTCTTTGGGCTGTATTCAGCTGGATATATGTTAAAAATTATTTGCAAATAATTGCAGTCTGCTTTTATAAACATTTTAAACAGTGTCCCAACTAATTTGGAATCTGTGTTGTAATAATCTAGTATCAGTGAATATGTCAGTGTAGCTCTAATTACTACTGTAAAGTCACTTTTGTCACAGCCACATGCCACTAACATCGTACAGAGAGAGGAGCAAGCAGAAACCAGAAACCATGCCGTCACATCCACAGCTGGTAACAGGCCAATAAACATGTAGCAACAAGCAAATGCCCCCGTAAGCCTCCACGAGGCCGCAGGCTTCAGTACCATGCACACACCGACAAATATGCTGATTACATAGGCAGACAGAGCGCGGCTTGTGGTTCATGATGAAAGCACAGTTTAAAAACAGACTTCTTTATCAGACAGTCAGAGAGACCCTACAATCTGAATTACATTTAATTTTCCAGTGTGAGCAACGGTGCTGATCCTGCTCCAAATACAGCATGGAAAAAACATAGCTAACGTGGTTAATCCTCCTCTGGCTACAAGAACCGCACAGTTAGCGAAGTTAAAAAGAATATGTGTTTAATTTGAAATTCAAAAACCATCAGACCACCTTCCTGCAGCCAGAGGAGACCGACAGGACGACGTCCAAACACAAGAAATGAACGAGAGCTCTGCAGCCGTAATGGGAGGCTGCAGTGACGGGTGTGAACTCCATGTGACCCCGAAACCAAACTTAAAGAGCTCCAGACAACATACTTCTCGAGCAGCTCAGAGCGATGGTAAGAAGCCATTAAAATTACAGATACTTAGTTTGTTTTGGAGACTGCAGGCCCTCTTCATATTGCAGTAATGGTTTCCCCACATTTCAGCAGGATAATATGGATGTTAAAGGATGAAGGAAAGTCTTTCATTTAGAAGATCTTAATTTAATTCTGAAAATGCCCGTGAGGAGCCTGCCTTGTGGTTTCACACTCTTTAAAGCTGTCATAGTCACTATTTTTATTTTAACAATGGATCAAGTGTCTGTGTGTGATGTGAAAGAGATAGATTGTAGTAACAAACCCACAGAGAATTATCGCCTGCCTCCATGCTACCTTAAGCTCAACAATGAGTTTGTAGCCTCTTTCAGTTTATTCTTTTGGTTTATAGTCCACAACATTACAGTTTTGCTTCAGTCTAAACGTTCTCATTAGCGTCAAAGCTCTGTTAACCCCACCATATGCTACCTGCCCATCAGTTAGCAACAGACAGACAAAAGCCACTTTAACACTGCCTGTTCAAGGCGGGAATATTGCACCTTTATGCCACCTCGCCGAAAAGCTGAATGGTGGGACGGTCTTGTTCTCGCCTTGCAGACGGCAGCAGAAGTAGTAACAGCTGTGAAACCGCGGAAAGACAAGACTATGGGTGGGAAGTGTGTGACGTTTTGAAGACATGTTTCGTGTGTGACCCACAGTGGAAGATTTAAAAAGCAGCTGGCAGCAAGTAGCTGCTAACTCAGAGAAGAACAGCAGCCATCAATGTCCACAAACTGGGTAAACAATGAGGTCTCTGACAAGACGAGATCAGCCGCCACATAACAGGGACAGAAAATGATTCATATTACCATGTTATGCCATCGGTGCTGTTTCAAAAGTGCTGCCAATGCATGTGTTGAATGCCACACTAAAAGCCAAGCTTTTGTGTTACATGTCATGCCCGTCATGCCTCTTTTACTTCTGCGATGCTGGCATGTTGCCGCTGTTGTTTGTACCTGAGTCAAAAGAGCAAAGGCGACGTCAGGGAAGGAACTCCGTAGTGGCCCCATAATGCAATCTCACGGTAATAAGGGCTTATGTTAGCAACTAGTTGGTAAACATAGTGGAGCATTTAGCAGCTTTAGAGACCGAATTTTATCTCAGGAGTTGGTGGAGACCAAAAACAGAGCTGAAAGAGAGTGATATATATATATATATATTGGATTTGCATTAGTTAGGTTGCCTGAAAAACAACTCCAACCCAAAATCAAAGCCTTCTTAAAGGGAAAGTTCACATTTTTGACTGGAAGTTGTGCGAGGTATCTAACCAGTCAGTGTATAGGAGATGGTGGCCAACACAGCCCCACTTTGGAGTATCGCTACAGAAGGTAAACAGTGTTGTGGAGGGTGGCAGCAGCAAAGCGTATTTTAGCGACCAAAAAGTCCAAATATCCAAAATATCATTCTAAGTGTTAGGGTGCAACGATACAGGTAGCACATGGTACGGTCAGTATCTTAGTTTTTGGGCCACGGTTTCGGTGCGTAAAGAGAACAACCCCCCCCCCCCCCCCCCCCCCCCCCCCCCCCCCCCAAAATTATCTCTTTATTTTGCTTGACTTTGCACTTGACATGCTGCTGTGTTATTTACATGACAACGCCTGAACGCAACACAGGCTCCACTCCATAGACAGTGTTAAGTGCCGTGTTGCGGGTCCTGGCCGGGCTCAGTTATAACTGTCGGTCAGGAAAATGCGGCTACACTAGGTATGTTTCAAGCAACGTTTACAGGCAGAGAAATTTCTGTTAACTGTTTTCACTACTTCTTCGTTTTATTCAACAGCTAAACCGAAATGCAGAGCCACAACAGTGATTGGACATTAACGCGGGGAGAGCTTTTGTGCAGCAGGCTGATTGGCCATTGTCTTCATACATCCATGGACTAAGCCTGTGGACAGGCACACACACACACACACACACAGTGGCCTGTAAAGCATCAATGCAAAATTAATTGCAAAACTGAAAACCACAAGGGCGTATAGATCCGTGCAGGGCGCACCGAACAGTTCAGCATTTTACCAAGGACAGCTGCATCCCTACTAAGTGTATGCTATATTAAGAGTATTTTCAACACTTTACCTTGCTGTCAGACGGCCCGTTCCAACAGCAAAGGGCAAGGTAAAGCTGCGCAAATAGTCTAAATATTGCGCACACTTTAAGGTCTAGTATGGAGGACTTAGTGGCATCTAGCAGTGGGGTTGCAGATTGCAACTACTTGAAACTTCTCCTGTGTGTGCCGACACGAAAACCCTAAGGGCCCGGTCCAGAGCCAGTGTTTGGTTTGTCCAATCTGGGCTACTGTAGAAACAACGTGGTGAACTTGGAGGACCAACTCCCTATTGTAGCTAACAACAATTCTTATTTTCTTATATTCCATTTCTGCCAATATATCCACTTGAATCCTACACACTGGACCTTTGATGCTGATGCTTTTAAGTTGCTTAAATATGTTTTCTTGTTGTCCTTGTTCACACAAGAACATTTCTTAGCTTCCCTGGCTGTACTCCTGTCTGCTTCTCCAAACTGGAGACAGCCTGACAGCCATCTACTAGCTAACACACTATCTATGGGTAAGAACCTCATACAACCCAACTTTGAAAAATCCAAACTATCCCTTACAGTATAGAACAAAAGCCAAAAACATCTTCAGACTGTGTGTAAGAACATTAGAAATCCAGGTCGGTTGTTAAATGTTCTGAGAGCTTCTCCTGGTACTGGACATGTTAATAACAAGGGAGGCTCCAGCTAAGATCAGGTTCAAATGAGCTGTAGTATTCCTGCTATTCTTGTAGTAAGGTGATACTGGGAGTGTTTGTGATATTCAGGAAAACATAGAGTATCTGCTTTACAGCAACGGGAGAAGCACAAGTGTACGATGAGCTTTAACGTACCAGAGAAATAAATGTGCAGCGTTTGGCTGTGTGACGCCGCTCCTCAGGTGAATATATATCTGTAACGTATAAATGATTTAAATAGTGAAAATGAGTGAGTGTGCTTTGCTTACTGGAAGGAGGGCGGTCTGGAGTCCCCGATGCCCCCGGTCCTCTCTGCAGGTGGGGGTGGGAGGGGTGGAGGAGGGGGCGAAGGCTGGGTAGTGGTTTCCACAGGGGGCACCACTGCCACTGGAGGCTCTGCTGTTGGAGTGTCTGAAGATACCAGCTGGAACAAAGAGACACAAAAAAACATGAAGACACAAAAACAGCAGAGACAGGATGTGGAGTGAGAGGGAGAGAAACTGGCACCAAACAAAAAGGTACAAATTGAGAACAGGGCAGAGAGACGAGAGGGTGAGAAAAGGAGAGGAATGAAAGGAGGAGGTAGGGAGGAGGGAGGAGAAGCGGGTAAGATGTCAATTACTTTGACACACAAACACTGTACTCTTTTCAGATGGACGTCTCAAGGGCATAGTGAAACGCTATCCCACACTTAACCTGTCTCTCTTCATTATACAACAACAGTGCCTACAAGCACACACACACACACACACACACACACACACACACACACACACACACAGAGGGAACACACATCAACAATTAGGATGAATGCCAAACAGCATCCAATTACCTGAACATTAAAAACACACAGGAAGGGAAGAAGATGGAGTGAGACAAAAATAATCTGGGCGTATTTAGATAAAATATAAGGAAGATATAGTCTATTTAATGCTGGGAATGTTCCAGATCCATGCACTTTGACACCAGAGCACTTAGAAATAACTACACACATATTTTCAATCCATAGCTGTTGGCAGTTTGATGCATTCAGTGATTTCCTGATTGGATTTGACTGGGGATATTTCAGTTACAATACCAATTTTTACTAGTGTGTGAAAAAAGATTTTCAGAGAAGTGATACTGTAAATTTTGCAAGGAATTAATTAAAATAAATAACTAAATTTAGAGCAGGAATAAAACTGAGTATTTTATGACTAAATGTTTCTAGAGCAGGACAGCAAAAAGACAATATAAACTCAGTATCTCACTGGAAACAAATCTAAAATGTCAATAAAATAAACATATTCCTGACGTCACAATACTGAGTATAGTTTAGAAAGAATAAAGAACACAGACATCAGACACTAGCCCCTTTTACACTGCCAGATTTTCTGCGAATGTTGGGCCGTTTTGCAGGCAAGCTGCGAGCGTTTAGACACACAGAGCCGGATTGGCGAGTTGATCTGAGGTGCCCAATTTTCCGCCTCGTAGGGTAGTCATATTGGCGGAACCTTTTTGGTTTAAAAAGAACAAGGCGTCTCTCCGCCATGGGAGGAGCTGTTGATGACGCTGGTGGTAGATTAACAGGAAACAGCTGATAGCAGGAATTAGCGAGCAGAGGGAAACACAAACCTGACAGACACTGTAAAGATGAGCAACTGGGGAGACAAGGAATTGCACGCCCTCCTTGAGAAGCCTCGGCGCACAGACAGCAGGAGGAGAGGCTGCAACGTGATTATAAATTGCACCAATACGTAAAAAAAGTAAGCCAACAGTTACAGATAAAGGAACAGGTGACGTCGGAGCTTCTCAACACGACGGTCGTTGATAATTTAGCACCATGGCCTGTTTACTAAGGCTTCACACAAAGCGAATATTAAAAGATCAACCTTGGATTTTATGAATCAATATCGGGTCACTGAAATGATCAATTTAAATCAGATGAATCGATTATTTTAACCCAGCTCAAGTCTTGTTGTCGCTAACCAGGAACAGGTTGAAACCAGGCAGGTCTTCCAGCTCCAGTATTTCATTTATGCTCGCCATAATGTGACTGACTCCCAAACTTGCTAGCTAGCTTGTTGTGCTAACTTTAGAGCCTGTTGCTAACTGCGCAGACGCTTCTCTGGGTGGTACTTGCATTTATGAACTTTGGTTCTTCAATACAGAACATTACGGTCAGGTGAGCCGGTGCAACCAATAAATATGTTCAGTTGTGCTTGACAGATTTTTGGTTGCCAAAATGGTTGCACTCTGGAGCCCTGTATTCCGGTTTTTGCCCCTATTTCTACAATAATCCTACCATGCTGTTTACATTGCCGTTTACATGCAGCCGTGCAGACTCCAATTAACGTAAAATTCCCCCATGCCCTAATACTGTTGTCAAAAATATAAATTCACCGATGCACAGATTCTGACTATTTGAAATAGTTTCAATACTTATTTTCTGCAATGCTGTGCCCTCAATGTAATTTTTTTTCTCCTGTGGTGTCAAAAATGGTATCGAATGTCAGTATTTTTCAAGGTACTGTATTGAAGCTAGAAATTCCAGTATTGTCACAACACTTCACCCTCATAAACAGTGTGTACAGAAAAGTGGGCTTTTCTTTTGGGCATGCATCTCTACCCCAGCCTTGTGTACAACGCACAGAGCTGACTATGAACAGGCGAGAGGCCATGAAAGTTGAGACTGAGCTGTATGCATGCCCCAAGAATGCTCCTAAATCTGAACAATACCAGCATATCCCACATGTTTTAATCAGAGAATACTACATTCAGAATAAGGCCACACAGAATGTGTTGTTCACATGACCCAGATCAAATTCCTAATACCGTCATGTTTGGAAGAGTATCAGAATATTAGTGTGCATGTAAACACAGCGAGCAAGTTCAGATAAAAAGGCTTTGCATTCCCCGTCAGAATAACTCAGCCAAATGGAGTCTATCAGCCTGAGCAGACTGAGTCACTCCCTGTTCCCCTCCCCACTAATGGCTATGTGACTATGAAACACTCGTCTTCTGGGATCTCTCCATCCGTCTTGGCCCGCAGATCACATATCAGTCCCTCTGGTCTCCGAGCTTTGTTCACCCTCCTTTAATGCCGTCCCTCCTTCTTATGCACTTAACAGATGCTCCGGCCTCAAACCTGCTTATCTGGGCCCCACGTCCCGACGGTTTTGTCTCTATTCAAATGAAGCTCGCAGGGTGGGGTCGAACAACTGGGCTTTGTACTGGAGAGATGGAAAGTATGAAAACTGTACCTGGCAACTGGCTGTACTGTAACTGGTGACGAGCTGTGTTGCTTGAGCGTCCATTAACACAGTAAGACAGTGAAAGCCCTTTTGGCTCCACATGTTGCATGGTCACATAACCACTGTAATGTGCAGATTTGTTCAATTATGTCATGTATCTGCAGACTTAGTGACATTCAAATGGCTTTAACAGCATAACAGACCATCCAGGCCTGACTTGAGTCTTTTAGGACTCACAGCAGCTATAAAAACTGTCAAAACTTGTCATGAAGACCGGAAAATATGTCCTTTCCTTCCAGTTATTGTTACTTCTTTTAGGATTCTTACTGAAAGAATATTATGGCCGACTGCCTGCAAAAATGTAAGGCCTAAAGAAGTGGTAACCTGGGTGAAAAGGAACCCGTCAGGACTAAAAACGGATGGACGTAATACCGGAAATATTCATGACGGGGATAAAATTGAGGGGAAATAGATGCAGCCAACAGCCAATGGTTTAACTTGGCTCTTGTACTTTTTTTGTGAAATATCCTTAAATCTTATGAATAAAAAGCAAGAATAATATGTCATGAAATTAGACTAGTATGAAGAACATTTAAAACAAAGTAAATATTTTAAATACAGAATCATTTAAACTAAAAAAAGAGCAGACAACACGTTTAATGGATGCAAAAGGAGAACATTTTTAAAGTCTAGCTCAGCAACCAGAACATGTTTTTGGCCACGGTGACTCAGGCTGTGGCCAAAGCTCCGAGATGATTTCTCTCATGGATCTTGTGAGTCTGTTTCCTCCTGTTTGACCTGGCTGGACAGTTAGTCTGGTGCAGCTTTCCCACTCTTTGCAGGAGATTTTTGCCAAACGCTCACTAAAGCACGAGCCCAAAGTAGATGTAGACGTAGATGTTGCAAAATGATATACAGTGCTGTAACTCTGATGGCTCAAATTTAAAGTTAATTACTTGGTTTTACTGCTGCTCGTTAGACAAGATCATTAGTCAGTGGGAGGTCTGGGGGAAGGCACAGGAAAAGGAAACATGGTTACTGAAAACAGCCTCTGGCTCCTGCTGATGTTGGCTGTCTTTTGAGAGAAAAGCCAGGTCCTGATGATTTTACAGAAGCAGGGCTCGACTGTAAGGCTTCTCAGCTCATCCTGTGTCACGTTCCCTCTCTTGTAGGGAAGGTGGAAGAGAAATTTACTTCCCCTGTTGGACACCCCTATGTACTCCTCCATATTCGACTTGAAATATGCCTTTTCCCCCCATGATACGTCCAACCCAGACTGCTTTAATTGCCCAATCAGGGCATGTGTTCGTGGCAGCGATGTTCCCTCCGGCCAAGTGTCAGGGAAAGCACCAAGAAAAACTAACCTTACAACAACTGCACCGAGTTGAAAGGAAAACAAAGATTCATCAACAGCTGGAGAGATGAGTTGGAAATTTCTGCAGCTTTTGCAGGGGGCAAAACCAACTTGTCAAACAAGTGAGTGATGTAAGGGAGCTAGCATTAGCAGCTGTGTTAGCACACTAGGTAACGTTAGCTAAGCACCAACCTGGAGAAGTGTGACCTGCTTCCAATGAATCAGAACTACACTACTACAGAACACAGAGTGTGATTACCGACCTAGCTGCCAAGATGAGTGGCACCACAGTGGCAGCAGATGAGACACCTTGCTTGACTCGTTGTCAGCAAGGAGAGATTTATGCATGGTGCGCTTTTTAAGAATAATAAAACAGGGGATTTGTTTTGCATTAGTCAATGTCCAAAGTTAACTTTCTGATTCACCGACCAAGCCTGGTAGATAAGAATCCACTGGCCAAGCATTTTTTCTACAAACTAAAATAACTGTCGCGAGCAGGAGCACCAGACCAGCAGCAAGTGATAGTTTATTTCTAACATGAAAACGTTTTACTGGCCAAATTGTATGCACATGGGTAATGACTTTTGTATTTAATTATTTAAAAACGCTGCAGTAGAACAACTTCAAAATGATCACAGAGGTACCAGGGGAACTGTTGAACAAGAATATTATGGGGTTAGCAGCTTAATTTGATTTTTAAATAGAATTTAGCATCTAATTATTAAAAATGCTGCAGCAAAACAAGAAAGTAATGACAAATAAATAAAAAATAGAAACTTTCACTTTTAAACGACCTTCGTGGACATTTGAGAGTAGATTACTGAGTTTACAAGGTGCACTTGAATGCACCATGGTTGCCATCCACAGGCTTTGCCATACAATGCAATGTAGATTATAGAATTTACAAGGTGTACCTGAATGCACCATGAAGTCCCTGTCACTGTGCGAGTATGAAGCTAGTCTCTGACACAGACGACAGAAGCAGCGACATACTTTTTATATTACGTGACTATTTTAGTACAAACATTTACCATCCAGCGTGGCAGCTTCTGAGACTTGCTCGCCAAACAGAAAATCTACCTGCATTTGGCGCTAAATTTCGAACCGTGATTGTTATAAGTGACTATAAAAGTAATTAGCATTAAAAAGTAGGGCTGCCTCCAACTAAGAATTTTCCTAGTTGACCAATAGTCGTCATTTAGGTCCATTAGTCGACTAGTCGCTTGCATGTTTATGATATTAATTTAATCATAAATTATATATTTTATTTTTGAGCTGAAGGTGTGAGAAAGAATAGTATCAGTAACATTGTTAACACTGTGCTACATTAGAGAGAAACCGGACTAATGAATCTTCATTAATATAGGCCTATATTTTATCTACAAGTGCACGTCACACACTGAGCGAGCCGCCTGTTAATGACGCTGTGGGCTAATGGGCATGTAGCTACTTCCATGTTTCAGATAATACGTCATGTTTGTAGTCGACCAATGAAGATGAGTTTACATATCACCTTGGGTTCGTCCTTCACCTTCTCAAAATGATCCCACACTTTGGATTTCCTGCCCGACATGTTATTAACTAGCCTGTGGAATAACCGCAGGTACCAGCCCTGGAAATTAACCTGACTCCTGTCTGACTGCTGAGCGTGGACACTTCCTGTGTCTGTCCTTTCAAATTAGATTCCCACATGGTCCAGTCATATAGGTTTTGAAATTTTGTTTTTGGTTTATTTTTTCGCTGACCGCTGAAATGAGATTTAACGTTGCTGACCTGTCATGACAGCTAACCACGCACACTTCTCTCCCCGTGGAAAGCAAGTCCAAAGGTGGAAACATCACATAAAGCCACTTTAATAACATTCATAAACTAAAAAATTTATATATTGACACAGTTCAGATACTTTAAAAAACTCCAAGTACATTATTGTCATTTTTATACATTTGTAAATTTACCTTTCTGAGTAACAAGCACCTTAAATAGTTAACGTCAAACCCTACAGAAGCCTCAGTGGCAAACTACTTAAATTAGGTCATTAACATATTTAGAGCAATGGTCACCAGTGAAATCTGGATACCCACCACTCACACACATTTACACATGCTACAGGTTTACAGTTTCTCACCCATGAAACCACTCTGCCGTTGAAACATGGCAACTTGGCGCTGTCATCGGAAATCTCTTCCTTCACCACCCTGAAAAACAGAGAGACACGGTGAGCTTCAGCACATATAAATTGTTCTACCTTCATAACACCGTGGCATGATGTGTGGACTCTGGAGGAACGAGGGCCGAACACAACACCGAGGTTAAAGTCGAGTCATAAAGAGAAAAAAAGTGAAACTGCGGGGGAATTAAACGGTTTACATTACTGACACATTACATAAAATATATCAGGCTATGACAACAACACGGCCGAACTAAACCACACGCCGGGCTTAGTTCTAAAATATGACCAGAATATGTTTTGACAAGTTGTTCTTGTTCGCTTGCCATATTCCTTCTACATGTGTTACCAGGTGTTTTATGCATCAGTCTGGGGCTAACACAACTGACTGAAGTAGCTCCAGCTGAGCTATACTTAACTTTATATCACATCAACACAGCAGCCGTAAATTTCCTTCAATATTTCAACTTTAATTCACCAGAAAGGGATTTTTTTTATTATAAGGACATCTGTTTTTTAAGCCAAGATCCTGATCTGAGTATCCAGTGATTCAGAGTCCAGTCCAATACTTTATCAAATATGTATCTGACAAGTTTAAATAACAACTGGAGAATACTAGGAGCCCCAGTACTAATCCTTAAGAGCGGCTCAGGACATCTCTATCATCTGTGCACATGACAAAGAAAGCATGTAAGTGAATCCACTCTGCCTGCCAGGGGAGGATGGAAAGGAAAACATCCGATTACACTGATTGTAATTTCAAATGACTACATTGATATATACCAAGAATCAAGTAGGTTTGACACAATTAAAAATCTTTGTGGGCGGAGTTAAAAAGACGTTTTCCATCTGTTGGCCTCTCGAATCTTGTGCTGGAAAATGATTTAAATATTTTAATCTTATTTATGCACAGAGCATCAACAGAGAGGCTGAGAGAGGGAAGGAGTGAGAGACATTCGTACACGTTACACACGTCTCATACATGAAATGTATGTTGTTGCCTGTCGCCTGCATCCAGGCGCTGTCTCCATGTCACATAGTAGAATAAAACTACCAAGAAGAACAGCGACATGCTATGATCCACCTCATAAACAAACTGCACGTGTGCTGCGGTAACTTCATCCATCTCACAGACTGATTTAGCATAACACGTGCAACATATAGACTAGATTAAACAGAGGAGCAGCTCTGTGTGTCCGAGTGTTGATGGAGAACTAAGCCCCTTTTCCACCAACATTTCCAGGAACTTTTATTACCAGGAATTTATCTACCTGGGTAAAATAATTCCTGGTAATCTGTGTGGTTTGCATTTCCACCACACCTCAAAGTTCCGGAAAATTTATTCAAATTACCGTGATGACGTAGATGATTTGGCATGTGTCCTGTATTTGGCTCCATCAGCTTGGCTGGTTACATGCTGGTGTAGAGAGTTGGGACTGTTTGTCTCAGTCAGCAGCTAAGTTTAAAAGTATTTTAAGATAAGTGTCAAACTAAGTTAGTCTACATACAGACAGCTGTCATTAGAGCTTATTAGTAATAATTCATTATCAGCAAAAGTAGCGTGCTTTTTTCCCAGAGTAATTTGTGGAAACGCACCAAGGCTTTTCAAAAGCCCGGGTAAATGACAGAAGTTCCTGCGGTGGACAAGGAGCTCTTATGAATGAATGAGTGGGGCGGGTGTTGTCTAAATTTATATCTTGCTTGAAAATATTAGGGCTGTAGTCTCCTGGTTGACTAGTCGATTATTTGGTCACTATGCTCTCGTCCGACCAAATTCTCATTAGTCGAATAATCGCTAATAGCATTTTAAATCGTGTGTGTGATTTATACTTCGGGATTTATCCTGGCTTCATATGAGCAGAGGAAACCTCTGCTCGTCGCTAGGCTAATTTATACCATGTAAAATGCCATAGGCTGGCGCTAATAATGTTAGCATATTGTATTTGCTTGGAAACATGTTTAGTATAAGATAGTTGTTTTGTCAGTGAACCTTGTGAGTTGTAACGGAGCTGAATTTTGTAGCGTTACCTTTGTTAAATGTTGCTGTTGTCCCTGGTTTTATATGAGTGGAGGAAAAGATAGCTAGATGCTAGGCTAGTTTATACAATGTAAAATGCCAAAGACTTGTGCTAATAATGTTAGCATGTAGTATTGGTGGGGGAAATGTGTCCAGATAAAGACAAGTGTTTGTCTGTCAGTTCTGCGAGTTATAGTGAAGCCAGTTTGCGTACTTGTGTTTGAAACTGTCTCTATTAAGCCATGTTTAATGTGTGTTTAATGTGTGTTTTGAATCAACTATATAAATAAAGTTTGATTTGAACTAAACTTTACAGCACTTAACACAGTCCTCCACCGCCGACTAGTGTTTTGGAGGTGTAACTGCAGAGTGACACAGACACACCACCGCAGAAGTAAAAATATTGGCAGATTTTTTTTCCCCACGACTAATCGATTAGTTGAAGATTATGTGCGACTTTAGTCGACCAAGATTTTCTTTGGTTGACTACAGCCCTAGAAAATATATTGTTATATCGTACAGTCATTATATCGACCAGCTCTTCTGGGTGTGTTAGTCCGACGATTTAGCCTAATACAATTTCAATCAGACTAATATGTTCACAAGTGTTTTTATAAGTCTGATTTTAGTCGGACTTACACAACAAATACATTTTCTCTAATGTCATGTGAACACAGTGAGTGTATATCATGATGTCACCCACACAAACTGCCAAGTTTTACCACATTATCTTCTTTTGTATTAACTTGAGGAAACTGTTTTTGTCTTAAAAGTATTTTATTCTTTATGATCAATTACCTTGTGTTGGATTAATGGAGTTCATCTTAAAGGGGACCTGCTATGTTCATTTTCAGGCCCATGCTTGTAGTTTGGGTTTCTACAAGAGCCTTAAAGTCTTCCTCATACTATCTGTCACCCTCAGTCTGAGAGGCTTTGTTTTAGCGCCTGTCTTTTTAACCCCTGTGACGAACTATCAATAAAAATGTCTAAATCAAAATCTTTACAACCAGACATGTAGCAGCAGGAATATGATCTGAAATGGGGGATACATTAACAACATCGGCATCCAATATTACGCTTCCCTGGCGTTAGCATGTAGCTACATGTAGCGGCGTATGTAATATAAACACTTGTGGTAACGTGCCTGGAGCGGATGACTAAATACATAAATCTGTCATGAGCTGATGTCAGCTTTGGTAACAGTATTCAGAACGGTTTGAGGTTTTTGCTCACATGGATTACTTTTACCTGAGTATTTAAAAGTGTGACCATGTTTAATATGAACATCCAACATTGTAATATTATATATAAGACAGAAAATAAGCACATTAGGTCCATTTAATGTAATTTGCAGTGTTGTAAGCGGTTTAACTGACCATTTAAAATCAACCATTCACACATCTAGCTTTAAAATTTGCATCACAGAAACAAAATCCACTCCTAGTGAACGTACAGTGCTATAACTGGGATTATACTGTGGTCTAATCGCATTACCAAAACACCACCCACACCATGAGGCTATAAATTAGCTCAGCAGATATCAAAGACAAGAACAAACAACCTTAATTTGCTTCCACCACTAAGTGACAGACGCTATGGAATTTCTTCCGTCGTAGCAATGAGCTAAAACACACACTAACTGCCTTTGTGTCTCCTCGACAAATTACACAACCCGGTCAATTAAATGTGCGTGAAAATCCAATACACATAATAACCTCTCAGTAACAGCCTAGTGTCCACATGGCCAAAGCTCCTTAAAGGCAACACATCCGTCTGGTTATTCTTCCCTTCTCCATAGTCTTCCTCCATGTTAGTCAGAAAGACAAACACTCGGCTTCAGCTGTGTAATTTCCCCCCCAGCAGTCTGTGTTATTACAGTAGTTTACCGGGACAGGGGCCGGGCACAAGTGCCACAGAGAGGACACTTGACTGCTCCAGCTCCTCCAGAAAAAGTTTTCCAGCTTCATGTGCCAGTGTGCGAGGCTTGGTTAGGCTCCACTGGGGCTGTCGTAAGCAGCTGTTGAGAGCTGGTTTTGTGGGTGAGTGTAAGCGTACGGCCGGATTGTTGTGGGCGCTGGTGGGGAGCTGCTGCAGGAGGACTTTTGGGAGCCGTGTGTGTGTGTGTGTGTGTGTGTGTGTGTGGCTACTGAATGTTCGTTAACAAGTACTTCCTCCATCTGATTTATTTAAAGGGTGACTTCGGTGTTTTTCAGTGGGGACTCTATTTTGCCATGTTGTATATTTGTTGTGTATTAAAAGTGTTTTTTTGCCACGGACAGGCTCAGATTGTTTTTTTAAGTGTCTGACAACATTATTTAAAGGATCCCTGCAAAGACAGACCTTTCTGTTTAAGAGTAAGATCATTTTGTTTAACAAGAAACAGCCCCGAAATGACTATCACCAAACCCACCAGACTTAATTTAAACGTTCATTCATTCATCCATCCATTTTCCGTAACAGCTTATCCCATTGTATTTTTACTGGAGGCTGAATTATCCGCAAAGGTCTCTTCCTCCCCAAAACAAACAGACCAGGTGATTAAAACCGGGACTGTACCCGACCCAATGTTCAGTGTGACAGCAGCATTCCTGTGATATAGTAACCTAACTACGCTAACGACAGATCAGAAACGTGCAATCAAAATCACATCAAACAAAAGCCAGAGACTGTGTCGTATTTACTTGCTGTGAGCTGTAAATTCACCACTTCCGAGCAGAAGAGAGAAGTTAATGTTATCTCAGAGCTTTACGGTGCAAAGTTTCTCCTCCTCTGTGCCGCTGCATCATGTCCGCAACTGTCTGTATGACAGAGTAGCGTGAGAGTCAAGCAAGCTACTCTGCAGAAAAATCTGGGGAACAAAATGTCCCTGACGATTCCAATCTCCAACGTTCATCGGGCAGCCCTAATAATGATTAAAACCAGTTTACATGCTGAATAAAGCAGTTTTGTGCTATGTTTCATGTTATATCATGTTTTTCTCTGATAATTTTAGATCCAGACATCCAGGAGTT